AGACAAATGAGAGATAAAAGAGTCTCTAATGCTTATGAGCCGAAGTGCAAGGAGATGGGATGTAACTATGATCAGACGGTCTAAACCTAAGGTCACAGCTAAGACTACAGTCGAACTTGACCGATCCCAACGGTCCAACTCGCCATCGAGTCTTCGAACCACCTTTGAGCTCGAACGTAATCACATCTTGTTTAACCGCATAGTCTATGGCTTGCATCATTGTTGGATTTAATGGTATTGGATATGACTGAACCGTGTATTCAGAGTACACTGATCTCTCTTTATTAACTTCAAACTCATCTTGTCTTAAATATGCAATCGTTTTACCTTCATAGATTAGCTTAAACTCGGTTTTATCAAACAAGGCGTGAGCCTTAGCGTTATCATTCTCTGCGCGAATCACAATCCTTATTTCCGTTTGCAAGACTCCAACTATATCATACCTGGTCAACAAAATCGAAGAGAAACACAAGATTTGATCATTAATGATCAAGATTTAAGATCACAAAGAGGTAAGAGTCGCGGGAAACGTACTTTAAGAGGTTGAGGTGAGCATCCGAGACACTAATGATGGGTACTCGCGGGTGAATCACCATGTAACCAACGAAGATCACAATGCCCCCAATGATTACAGCAACAGATATTATGGCACAAATGATGGCTGCACACCAGATGAAAGGACTGGTACCGTGACGAGAACCCAATCTTGGCATTATTATGGGGCTCTCGGGCTCGTCTATTGGATCGAATTCGATGAGACAGCATCCGAGCTGGGGACAGACCAAGTTCTTTGGCTTTTTGGTGGATTTGTGGTGAGGCTAGAGATGGGGATAATGGAATTTGAAGGATTGGGTAGTAAATCCTAGTTGGTAAGGAAAGTCTTTGGTATCTTTCTTTCCCTTGGTGTAAAGGCAAAACTGGGTTGTGCAAGCAAGCAACATACATAATTGTAAAAAAAGTTGTATACTTGCTAAATTTTAAGGAATCTTCCTCTTACATATATAAAGGCCTAATGTGCTTTTTTGGTTATACAAAGAAAAAGAAATTCTTAACTTGTAAGTGTTACTAACTTAGCCTATGTGTATATGTAAATTAAATGTTTAATGTCAAAGAAGCATATAACATGTATATATTTAACGATTTGCATATACCAAAAGATTCACAGTACTTTTTGTTTCTACAGATTGGAGAACAAACATTCTCTCCTGAGGCTAAAGCTCATTAGACAGAAAAAAAGAGCATGAACTCGCCAATGTAGAGATATGATAACCGTAAAAAAAAAAAAAAAAGAGATATGATAACCGTAAAACAGTTTTACCCCGAAATTACTGAATTCAAAAACAGCGGTAAGAGACGGATGTGCGGGTGCGCGAGTGACCATTAGAGCCTTTTTTCGAGGAAGACAAACTCAACAGGTCAGAAATGTGTGTTTCTGCCTCGGCCTCTCCCGCCATAGTAGTAACCGTAACCCGGGTTTGAGTAGTTGTTGTTATGATTGTATCCACCTCTGTAATTGGTTTGTGCAGCGAGATATGCACCCTGACCCGGTTGTGGTTGAGGTGGCCTTTGAAAATGGTTACCAAATGCCTGAAAAAAGAAAGATGAAGAGAGCAAAAAAAGTCTATAAACAAAACACTATTGCAATTTGAGGGAGAATCGTTTCAGAGCTTTGGGTTGGTGAATATAGTAAGGATGAAACAAACCTCAGGAACTTGTCTCATGTGCTCGGGAAACTGGGTGTGTTGCTGTTGTTGTTGTCCGCTTCTTGCCACTCGGTCAAGTTGGTTGCACGAGATTGTGTCGAAAAAGTCATCCTTGTTATAAGAAGGCTACAACAAGCAAAACAAATGTTGAATGCTGCTTGAAATATCATATAGATCATATTAACTAGACAATGTCAAGAGCTTGAGCATTAGATCTCTATTTGGACTAGACACAGTTAGAAATAAATACCTTTGCATTCCCTTCTGCGTTTGGATCGACTGCAGTTTCTACCCTGTAATCATTTTGAGTCCTTTGATTGTTTTTTCCGAGAAAACCCCATAGCTCACTCTTATTGAACTTCTCATTCATTGCCTCAAAATCAAATTCTTCAGTGAACTCAACGCCAGTACTAGGGATCCGAGACTGCAACAAATTTAAAACCACAAACAAACACCAAATAAGAAAATCATNGCATGTCTCGAAAGGATATATNCAGTAATTGAGTTGTTAGTCACACTTCCACAAGACAGAACGTATCAGGGCTAGTACCATAATAAATCTAAGAACCAATGTAATCATGAAGAGAATTCATGATAACGATGACAAAATCATGCATAGATGTGATAATTACGAG